CCTCTGCGCACAGCCAGCCCGACACCCACACAGCGGCAGGCGGGGCAGGGCGGCTGGGAGGCCTGGAGATGCTGGGAGGCCGGCGCGCCAGCCAGACGTGAGAAGAGAAGAACAGACCTAGAGACGGGGGACAGAGGACAGATATACAGACACGTGCAGGAAAGTGTGGACCGACCATACCCCAGTGAAGAACGTAGCCAGGCACAGGCTGGGCACTTGGGCAGGGAAACCCTGTCACAGGCGAAGAGCAAAGGGCAGAATGGAGAGGGTGAGGGGGCAGGAGGGACACAGCATGGCCTGTCCATTGGGAGGGGCCCTAGGAAGGAATCCTGTTCCCAGATGCCTGCAGGGGAGTTCTGGGATACCAGGGTGTCACCTAAGCCAGGCCGAGGCCTCCACTCAGAGTGATGAGCTGGCCTATTTCCTGCGCAGCCCACCCACTCTATGCCCTCTGCCCTGGAAGGTCAGCCCTGGCAGATGCAAGCCTGTCCCCCGAGAGCCTCCAGCAACTGTTCTGCCGGTGCCCTACTTTGGGGCCTTGGACAAATCCCAGCCCATCCCCCAGGACTCCTTTTCTTCATTAACCCCATTTATTGCATCCTTGCTATGTTGGGGTGCTTCAGACTTACTTATGGAATCCTTTTACATCTCCACTTGCCTGGGAGCCTCCTAAGGGCAGCATCTGGTTGGAGCTGCAGGGGTCTGAACACAGGGTGCCCTCCTAAATTTGATGAATGAATTGATGGGATGCATTGTTGCCAGCCCTGTCCTAACCCCACATTTTATTGATAAAGGAACTGGAGCTTGAAGAGGCCCAGGGATTGGAAGCCAGGTTTGTTTCACAACCCAAAGGTCAGCCACTGCTGGGAAGTGTTTTTCAAAAATAAAACAGGCCAAAGAGCTGAGCCTGTCGATGCTAAACCCTGGGGAGGCAGAGGAGCCCTGGGGATGCTGTGGAAGGAAGTGAGCCATCCACAGGCTCTGCAGGGAGGGTGGGGGCAGAGCAGGCTTCCAGAAGAAACAAACCTCATTCTGCCCCAGCTCTGCCAGGCATCCCAGGGGAGGCAGGAGCAACGGGGTGGTCTGGGGCCTCAGGGGTGAAGACCCTCTGGGCCTCCTTTGGCAAGCTCTTCATTCTGGCCTCTGCCTCTAGCACTGCTTCCCTCACCCCTCCCAGGACCCAGACTGGAGCATCCCAGCTCATCTGGGGCTGCCATGGGGGGAACCTCCAGGTGTAGGGGATGGGGCCAGAATGGAGGGAAGCTTCTCTCAGAGTCCCCAGAAAAGGGGCCTGGAGAAGCTTTTTGTCCAACCTATGCATTTATTTTGAATATTTACAAATAAAAATATCAGAGAAAAAAGAGCACAGGTCAAGGCCACAGAGGTAGGGTTAGAGGCTATAGATCTCCTAGGCCAAGGCTCTGCTCGATCTGCAAAGGTGACCTTGTTCTCCCTGAGCAGAGACTAACTAATCCTCACAGGATGAGTATACTAGTTATTCCTTTGGATTGGTATGTGTGTGTGTGTGTGTGTGTGTGTGTGTGTGTAGTGGGGGGTGGTATGGAGTGGTTCACTTAGAGTGAGTCCTTACATCAGCCCTAAGAAGTTCATTCTCCTCCACTGGATGCTTTAGTATCACTGATCTGCCAAGGCCAGCCTATTCCTCAGTCCTAGAACTGTTTTCCCTGGGTCTAGCCTTGGAAATCAGATTATGGTTGTTTGCCTGCCTACCTACCTAGATTAATCTTTTTTTTTCTTTTATCTACTATCCATCCATCACAAATATATATTGTACAGGCCACTTGGAAAACTCCAAAGGAGAAAGAAGAAAATAGAATCCAGCCATCATTGAGCCCCTTCCTTCCTTCCTTCCTTTCTTTCCAACTCTACAAGTATCCTTAAATGGAGCGGCCTTGTTAACTATGTCATTCCCTCTCTTACCTTACATTACATTTTGAGGCTATCTAGCTCTGTACCAGATGGTTCTACTATGTTTTATTTAACTAATCCCCTATTGCTGGGCATCTATTTTGTTTCTGTTTTCCATGCTTCTAGACACACTGCAGTGAACATCCTCAAGGGTAAGTTTCTGCATGTCCCTGATTATCCTTTATGTCAGTGTTTATGTTCATATATTATTGAGGTGTTCTTCTGTATGGGTTTCCATTTGAAGGAAGGGCATCCTCTGGATACCAGACAAGCTCAGTGATTTCCAGTATCTTCTTGTTCAAGGGTCAATTAGGGAGGCTAGAGAGGGGACCCTTTAGGAAATCATCTGGCAGTGCTGTGGTTTGAATATGTACCCCAAAGTTCATGTGTTGGAAACTTAATTCCAACTGTAATCATGTTGAAAGGTAAGACCTTTAAGAGATGAGTAGCCCATAAGGGCTCTGCCTCAGAGATCCATCAGTGCCATTATCAAGGGAGTGCTTGTTGCCAGAGTGGGTTCCTTGTAAAAGGAGGAGTTCAGTATCTCACTCTGTCACCCATGGGTGTCTTCTTCTACCATGTTATGATATAACAGGAAGGCCCTCGCCAGGCACTGCCCTTGATCTTGGTTTCCCAGCCTCCAAAACTATAAGCCACATACATTTTCTGTTTATTATAAATCACTAAATCTGTTGCATTCTCTTATAGTAGCATAAAATAAACTAAGATAGGTGACAAATCGGGACTTTGAGATGCCCTGAGAGGCCCCAAGTGCTAGGCTGTGGGGACTAGAGTGTGCTTTGTATTTTTCCAGTTGCTCACAGGGAATCCCCAAGAATGTCCTTTCTGTTTGTAAATAAATCAGGGGTCCATGATGTCATTCATCCCAAACAGAATCTATGGGGTGGAGTTGTCGAGGGGCCTCCTGGGCCTGTCCAGCTTACCTCCCACCATCCTTCCTCCCTTCAGACATCTTTGTTTCACCACCTTGCCCCTTGGCCCAGTGATGGCCAATTAACAGTATTTTCTTTGGGGCTAGGGATTGTTCCATACTAAAGGGAAGGACTTCAGGGTGTCCTGGCCTGTGGTTGGGATATCTGTCTAAAGAATCCATAAGGCCTTTTGGGAAGATGTATCCCCCTTGCTGGTGTGTCCCTTTTACAGGAGGATGGTGACTGTCTTCCTAGTCTTGATTACATTACCAAAGACTTGGTCTTCTCGGTTGCCTTGACCTTGGGGGTGGGGAACAGGAAGGCAGGAAAGTGTACCCCACCAGCTTTGACGATTTTTCCTCTTTCCACCTGATTTTTACCAAAGGTGCCCTGGAGCATGTCCTGGTGGTGCTGAGTGGAAGAGACCTTGCTTGGAGGGAGGTGGTGAGGATGGGGAACAGGCACAAGCTAAAGTGCACGAGCTGAAGCAGAATGAGGAAACTTGGGACAGAGAAAGATGCATAGTCCTAAAGCCCTCCTGTCTGCTGAGAGCTTGGAGGGATTTGTGCTTTCGCTTCCATGTTACAGATGATGAGAAATCCCTCAGGATTTAAGCGACTCTCTAGAGATGTAGTGGCTAAGTAGTGCCAGGTATAAGATTAGGATTCTTTTAAAAATAGGCCAAAGAGATTACCAGGTGTCCTTTTAACTGCATATTAGGTATCATTTTTTTTTTTTTTGGGTGGGGGTTTGTTCCTGTCATGATCTCTGAGCTATGTTATGATTCTGTACATTCTAGAAAACCGATCATAACACTAACAAAATAGTTAGTCCATTGAAATGCAAATGCAGTTTCTCAGGTATATGCCAGTAGATAGCTTGTGGGGAGAGGTGGGGCTTCCAGCGTCCACATAGGCACGCTCTTTGAAGTCCCCTTTGAATTGTGTACATCTTACTGGTTCCCTCATTAGTAAGTTGATTCAAATCCTGGACATGAAAGTATTGTATGACATTCATGATTGTGTCCTGTAAAAAGTTTATCCCTTGACAGTAGAAAGCTTGAGATTTCATCTTGGGCCTGTCTTCCATCACAGATTAGTCCTTTGTTGGAGGTCTGAGGGCCTGGGGATATCAGGAGAGAGGGAGGGAAATGAGTGGGGTGGGTCAATTCTAAATGCCTTTCTGGAAGAGGGGAGGCAGAGAGTACAGAACATTTTCAGGGTGAAACCTGATGAGGAACTGGGCAGCACAGACAACTGTCGGAAAATGAGAGTAATAAAAATCAAAGCGTCCCCCAGGATCGCTGAGAGGGAGGAGTGAAATACTGCACACCAGGGTTTAGAACAACAGTTCTTGACACCCAGTAAAGTCTCAATGAACATTGCCTACAAATGTTGAATGTGTACTTGTGAAGGAGCAAAGAGAAACATTTTTTTTTTCTTATGGCTTTTCTATTTGTTTTTTTGCTCTTCTCGCCACACGGCTGAGAGCTCTTTAGTCACAAAAATAGATTCCAGTGTTCAAAATACTGTCAGCTGCCAGAGGCTACATTTGAGTCTAATTTAAAAGTTTAGGAAATAATACTGGCATCTCCTGAACTTAAGCACTTAAACAAATTTTTTTTTCAGAGTTAACTCAGATAAAAATACCATGTGCAATCTATGATACTATTTATTTTCCCAGCCAAGAATGGATGGACCTGCCCAACTGCAGCAGAGTAAGTGTGGATGAGTTGGATGATGGGATACTCAACACAGTGAGAGCAAACCTATGACAGCTACAGGCAATGACACAGGCCACTCACAAACAGGGTGGAGTGACAGTAGCCAGACACCGTTTACTTCCATTTATATCAAGTCTCAAAGCATGATGTTGGGAGTCTGGGCAGAGTTTACACTGGGGGTGATGGAGTGGCAGAGTGGGGGCTTCAGACGCCCGGGGATGCTGTTTTTTGATTTGGGTGCCGGGTACATAGGGATGTTTTGTTTGTGCAAATTCTTTGAATAACACACTATGTACATTTAAATGTATGTGGATTCTACTTTAATAATAAGAAGAAAAGGATGGGCAGTCATTGTGCATGTGCCCCGCTGAGGCAAGAGAGCTAGACACCCAGCTTGAAAGTGGAAGAGGAATTTGGGATTTCAAACAGGGCCAGAGGGAAAGGAATTGATATTTATTCAGTCTGTGGGAGAACTTGCTTTCCAGGCTCACTAACAAAAATAGTTTCATTTCTTCTGAAAAACAGTTTGCTTTTTTGTTTAAAATACTCCTCAAATCTGGTGACTCTTAAAACAATCCCTGCTACTTAAAGTTGGTTTTGTGGGGCCACCCTTTGGCAAGTGTGGGACTTGTGCCTTTCAGGGTCATCTAGGGCTTTTTCTTTTATTTCCTATCCTTATTTTTCCTTTGTCCCAATTCACTCACTTATAGTTTTCAAAAAGTTGTAGTGGGTGTGTTTCCTTTGTCCTGATTCACTCCTGATTTTTTTTTTTTTTAAATCGAGTTATGTGTATATTTTCTTTGACCAGATTTACTCGCTGGTTGGAGAAAACATGGTACCGTGCATGTGTTTTTAAGCGGCTTTGATTCTTTTGGAAGGAGATGGTGTATAAATAAACAAAACAGTGCAGAAAACATCCATAGAGAGCTTATGTGTGGGTGTGTGTGAGAGAGTCATTTCCACGGTTCATTTGAGAGCATAAATGGAATAGGGTCACATTCAGGAAGGGTAGAGGCTGGCCTGGTAAACAGATGGTGTCCACCCTCGTGAGGCATTGGCCAGCAGAGAGATAAATTCAGAAAGCACAGAGATATGCTCTCAGGGCTGGCTCAGGAGCTCAGGGTTTGGAGCCAGGATACCTGAGTTCAAATCTCCTCTCTGCCACTTACTTATTTGTGTCCTGGGGCAAATCACTTGTCCTTTCCTAATTTCCATCCAGCCTAAAGGGTCTCACTCAGGCACCCCCTGGGATCTGTGCCCCCCCCTCCCGTAGCATCTTCAGACTGTGGCCCCCTCTGCTAGAGTAGCTGCTGGGAAGGGGACTTTTGACCTTGTCTCTTCTTTGTGTCCTGGCCCTCTCTCCCAGAGCTCCTGGTAGTTTTGGGGGAATGCCTGAGAGTCACATTGTCACCTGCACACATCCATGACTCAGAACAGGGAATCTCAGAACCCAATGTGACACAGGGGACGAGGGTGGGGGGGTGCTTCCTTTTCAACAGACTCCTAGGAGAACTGCCGGAGTCTGTCTGCCATTTATTTTTTGCTTATTTATTTATTTATTTATTTATTTATTTATTTAGTTGTAGATGAACACAATACCTTTACTTTATTGATTTATTTTTATGTGGTGCTAAGATGGAACCCAGTGCCTCACACACACTAGGCAAGTGCTCTACCACTAAGCCACGGCCCCAACCCTCGTTTTCATTTTTAATGGACACATGATAATTGTGCATATGTATAGGGTACCCTGTGATGTTGTGATTACCATTCATTTTCAACTGACCATAATAAGCTTGAAATGCTACCGAGGGAAGTTTTTCCCTAGAAGAACCTTAATGGTATCACCTGATTGCAGTATAGTGGGTGATCAGTTTACATCCTGGACAAAGCAGCTGAGCTGTAGGTGGGATGAGGCAGGGCAGCCTGGTGATTAGCAAAGACTTGAATTTGGCCTCGTGGCTAAGGACAGCTTTTCTGTGTGTATTATTTCCTTGGTCTTTTGCAGTGTCACACATGTGCTGCCCTATAACAGGGCCTAGACTCGATATCACCTCTCCGAGACTCAGACACTTGAAGGGAAGACACCTCCCTGCTTTGCAGCCTGGGGAGCTTCCTTCTGCCCAGCCCTGACCTTGTTGGAGCCCTTCAGGGGCTTCCCATTGCTGCAGGATGGAGTCCCTCAGCCCTGGGGCAGGAGAGTGTCTTTCCGACTTGGGCTCTGCCCATTTCTAGTTCCCTCCCAGCCACTGTCTTCCAGTCTGCACCCCTGTGCCGTATGCAAGTTGCACCTGTGATATCCCAACACTCCCTCCTTTGGAGACTTCTCTGGCCTGGCCTTTCCCCAGGTTGAATAAACAGCTATTTCATCTGGGGACCCACAACACCTTTTCTATAATTAGAAAAAAAATATAGAAATTGTGAAAGCTGGTTTTTTTTTTTGAATTTGTGAATATTTGCTGCCAAAGGCAGAAACTGAGACTAGTTCAACACAATA